AGGAAATTCAGATGAGCAAAACCATTACGTTATTCCATCAATAGAATCTGTAATATTCGATTGAATGAAAAACTTTCAGAAAAAAGCAATCGATCTTTAGAAAACAATCATAAAAATGTCCGACAAGGATGTTTTTGAGTCGACAAGTAGTATCACTAGAAGTCAAAGTAGGGACTGGGTACTTGACCGGTTACTCAATTACAGCGAACCATCAGAGCGAATCGAGAACATGTTGCTTACCATGAACACACACTAAACAACAAGTATTATCGTATTTTGCAGTATTGAACTAGATGGATTAGTGAAGCTTAGACTTACTGGAAAACACAGCTACTCAAATACGAAGTGTTAACATTGCTGGTTTCAAATATTGGCATTACGAGGAATGCGCCCCACCTCCGTCCACCTTCCAGCGTTGCCAAAACGATTGACTTAATACCGCTTTTATGAAGTTGTGATTGAAATGTTCGTTGAAGAGTAAAAACATTCAGCATTGATGAAATTCGCTTTGAGATGGGCCACGCATTCCACTTCAATCCTGAATTGTAGTGACATAATGCAATTCGATCTACAGTGAATTCTTCAGGTCAGCCGATTAAAAGTCAGTTTTTTCACATTATTTCGCAACACCTTGTTTATCTGAAGTTAGTATTTACTCAGCTGGTTTTGATATATTTTTCTAGTTTTCAAATTAATAACTCTTCATAAAGCCCTAGCAAGCAAAAAAGGTGTGGCCATCACATGAAGAAAAAACGTGTGTCTTTCCACGTCATTGAAAACGAGCTATGTATGGGTTTCACAGTTATGGTTCGGTTTTTATAATAATCTTATATTTATGAAAATCTACTATACTTTATTAATTCTACTTAAGTGCGGCTGGCACACATCAGGAAGCCAATTCTGTATCTTGTTAAATTCAGGTTTGATAATATGAACAAAATAACGAAAAATAATAATTAAGGTAATAAACGACATGCGATGGCCCCATAACGACGAAGAACGGTATCCATGCACAGTGAAGAGTAACCTATGGATTTTATTTCTGAGTGAATAATTTCCTATTTCAAATTCAAATTTATACATGCTAAATAACATGTAAACCAACACAACAAGTCATGAAACAAGTTAATCAATTCTAGCAGAAAAAATGATCAGGAGAAACAATGAAGATAATGAGAAACAACTTTCCTGAGTTTAGAGAAAGAAATTGGTATTTGCATAGCTTTACTCATTTTTGCGTACTCCGTTCCAGCCCGAAAAGTGAAAAATTTTCTACCAATGGACGTACGAGGTTGCCGAAAGAATAACTTGAACATATCACCCCTAGTCTTGGAACGGCACCAGCTTGAAAAACAAGTGACTACTCAAATCAATTCGCTTACTAAGAATGTTGTGTACCATTAGAATGTCGTTTCTTTTTCTCCTGAGATGTAGCGGATCTAAATTGAGAATCTTGTTTCTAACCAATCCACGTGGTATGCTTCTGTAAGTGAAACCTAGAGCTCTAAAAAAAAACAAAAAAAACCTAGACCTAGCTGAAAATCTTGCGTGTGAAGTTATTCTGAATCTTTTCCGGACTGTCAGAGAGCGTTTCCTCATGAGGATAGTAAGTGCAGGTACCGTATTCGAGAACTGAGCGCACGTAAACTTTGTATGCCCTGATAAGAAGCAATGGGTCTTTTTAGACTTAAGCGCTTTAAACAGCAAGAAGATTCTTTGTTCAGCCTTGGAAGCGATATTTTTCAAGTGCTCCTCAAAATTAATTTAGAATCAACAAGAAAGCCCAGATCTTTTACAGAGATCGAAAAAGGAAGATTACGACGTAAGTTCAATGGCGACATTGCGTTGCGAGTATCGATTCCCCAATTGCGTACAAAATGGAAATGAACACATAAAAGCAGAATTTATCGAATCACATAAATCAATCCACACAGATTGATCTTCCGGTATATTTCTCGATAAAATCACAATTGGCCCTGCCGGTCTGGAGTAGACACCTGAAAAATTAACTAGCTGATTATAGAAGTTGCATGAAACTCAACAGATGCTCCCCTTGAATAGATGATGGGAGATTTCGTACCTGCGTGTCCCGCTTCACCGCATCCTTGTCCCCAGCTCACAATTCCTGCCTGATACCATCGATTTGACTCATTATGTTTCATGACCAGAGGACCACCTGAGTCTCCCTGAAATTCATTGAGTCGTCAATTGGTAACGATTCCCTACAGAATCCTATCGTCCCTGTTTTGATAGTGCACAATAAGGATGAACAAATGGTGTGAAAAGGATTTCTGAATTGTTTTCACAGTTGAGCGGGGATGGTGCGACCAACGGCTGAATCGGTGCACAGCGCTTCGTTTCTTTGGATCAAGTCACACACTGGCCAAAAAAGTTCACCAGAAGTTGGCCCTAGCGGTGGCCCATTTATGGGCTCGGGGAGAAGAGAATGGGGCTGTGGGCAATGATCCTCCAACGGGGTATCGAAAACCTTCCATACGAAACCATCTTGCGTAGTTGGTTTCAGGGGAGCGTGGTGCAAGGGAGTACACGAGTTCTTTTGTATCTATGGAACCGATTTCACAACTCTACTCTGTCGTGTGGTAGCTCCTGATAGGAAAAGGTAACTCAGTGGGATCAGTATTGAGTTCCTGATGTAAGCTAGGCCTCAATCTCATGCTTGTCAGCTTTGAGCCACAAAATTAGCATAGGCTCAGAATTGCTGACAAGTTGAATTCGGTGCCTTTAAGTCCGGATTTCCTGATTACCCCTAACTCTTCTGTAAGGAACAATGAAAACCTTAACTTACAGAGATCAGTAACCAATTTATAATTCCTATACGTATGCTTACAATTTTGAATGGAACTCGAATGAAAATGATATATATCGTGCATCAAAGTTGATTCTAGCATCAGTTACTTGACCGATATCCTAATGATAAAACATTTCCCTTAAAATTCACAAATTTCTCTCACCTGGCAACTGTCAACACCTTTCCTGCCGGCACAGGCCATTGTCTCGTCTAGTTCACCCTTGTATTCAAGTTCACATTCTTTCGGGCTAAGGAATGGCACCATCACCTGTCGAAGCTTACTCGATGCAGCACCGCCTTCTGAATATGGGGTTCAAAAAAGTTGAAAATTGAAATCCAGCCAAAAAAATCACCGCTGGTGACTCCCCAGCCAGTTACGTAGCCACTTTGTTTGTCGTTCATGATCTTCATCGTCCTTGACACACACACCGGTTGGATATGATTAGTGAAGTTCACAGGTGAAGCTAGCTGAAAAGGAGTAGTAGTCGTTTCACCTCTAAAATAATATCCGAGCACTGTTCACGGTTTAGTGCCAAGAGCCCGCTCGCTTCCTAATAAACATGCCAGAAAAAAAAAATGAATCAACAAATAAAAAAATGAGCACAGAAGTACGTGGTTCACGTAGCTCCACCTACTGGGTTGAATTTGAAGAGTTCGGCAGGCACGTAACCCTTTCGACCTTGCGAAGACATGCTAAGGCAGAGGGTCAGTGCGCCATCACTAATGGTCGCGCAGGTTTGGCCTCTAAGTTAGAGTGGCACCCAAAAAAATAAAATTTTCTTTATTGTTTTTAAAAAAGATTTTTTTATTCTTTTCTCCAAAAAATTTTATTTCCGAAACGCGCACATAATTCAGGGGTTTGCGATCTAGATTTATCTTCTGACATTCGTTCGATTTCATCATTTTCTCATTCGAATTGCGAATATTCGCGCAGTGCATGACTTTCGTGGCGGTCGATGTAGAAGTCTGTATCCAAATTTCCACGCAGCTTTCCCGAAGGAAGTGCAACTTGTGACTCATACTAAAAAAAAAGACATTTAAAGAAGAATTCACGATAAGGATGAAGGTCGAAGAAGGGAAAATTGCATAGTTGGGATACAGGCGGACCTCCTGGAGGGCGCTGACCAACGCGCGATTGGCATCGAAGGATATGCTCCTGGCAATGTGTGACCGTCCCATTTGCGCAAAAGGCCCGGAACGCCCACCGCACTATCTAAGTCACTCGCCACAGTTCTATACGGAACCCCGTGAGTGATTAGTAACAAGAGAGCGTAGGGTTTATAGAGGGACAGCGATAAGGGATCCCTCTAGTCGCATCAATGCTCAAATCAACGGGCAAGGAAGTGGATCCCATTTCTCAGGTTCTGGGCCGTTGTCTCATAGTTCTTCCTTCTTTCGTGTTACCACTCACCACCCCCAAGTTAATTGCGAAATGCGTTGCTTTTTCATTGTGAATTCGCCCTTCAAGGCACCCGAGATTAAATGAGTGAGTACAAGCGTTTGCTAATGAAAACCGGCGGAATGACAGCTGTCTGCAAAAGGGAAAGTGAAAGCAAGGACGTCCCCACTGACTCACTCCGTAATTATTACGCATTCCTTCATTCCAGCCGATATCTCACCTCGGGATAAGAAATGGTTGGACGTCTCACGAGCAGCTTACCTCGCAGCTGCTTTCAGTGCCGCAAACACTGTGAGCGCATGCTAACGCTGTTAGCAACTGCGGCCCGCATCACTCTTTTCTCGCCCGCTGCCGCCACTTGGTGACCGTGTCAGAACAGGCGGGGCTTGGGGACCAAAGGTATTGGATGCGTACGTTCAAAACAAGCCTCTCCTAGGCGCACCCTAGGGCTGCCCAAGGAGCTACCTTGAACGAACGCTTCCTCCCCTGTCTCCTTTCGAATCCGCTGATGAACCATGGCCGTGAACGCTGCCTGATGAGGACCGCCTTCTGAGTGCTACGGTTTACGGTGCTTCTTTAACCTTTACACAGCTTGGAAACAAGTGGGTATGCCTTCAGGGACGGTAGCAAAGTACCCTTAACTCGCAATCAGAAGTAACGATCGGAGATTCTAAGCAAAGAATAAAGAATGGAGAGTGCGATCCAGCCCAGATCAAGCAAGAGCTTCCTACTTTAGATTTCAGACGACAAAATATCAGGAAACGAATAAATAAGAAAAAAAAAGGTTGCAAAAGTACCTGAAGATTATGGATCGCAGCTGCATTCTTTGATTCCTAACAGGTTGAGCTGGTCAGAGAAGAAAAAAGAGCACGGGATTGAAGAGGCGCAGTCACCACGTCTGACACGTATGACCCTCCAGTAAAAAGTACTCCGAAGGACTTTTTACTGGAGGGTCATACGTGTCAGACGTGGTGACTGCGCCTCTTCAATCCCGTGCTCTTTTTTCTTCTCTGACCAGCTCAACCTGTTAGGAATCAAAGAATGCAGCTGCGATCCATAATCTTCAGGTACTTTTGCAACCTTTTTTTTCTTATTTATTCGTTTCCTGATATTTTGTCGTCTGAAATCTAAAGTAGGAAGCTCTTGCTTGATCTGGGCTGGATCGCACTCTCCATTCTTTATTCTTTGCTTAGAATCTCCGATCGTTACCTTCT